CTCCGAAGCTGCCTTCTTATAGGCTTCACACACACACACACACACACACACACACACACACACACACACACACAGAGGGTAAGGAAAGCACTAGGGGTTATGCTAAGGATAGGATTAGGTTCCAGGTGTTCCTTTCTCCTCTTCCTTGCCTTACTGAGTTTTCAATCTCTTGGAATTTAAACAGAGGGTGGATTTACTCTTAAGATACAAGGAAGGTGTTTGTGGCAAACCAGATTTCTCAGAATCCCAATGGTACCTTATAAGCATTCCCAATATTATCTTAACAAGCCACCAAGGATTGGTCTCATGCGTTGCGCTGAGCCGTGATTCATGTAATCATGGCTCATTGAACATATCTAGTGGTATGCAGTACAACGGGTAAACCATAAAACCAGGCTCCCAAATCCAAGCGGCTGAGTTCACACAACCAACGACACTAGAACCATAATAAGCCCCATTATGGCTCGGCGCAGCATGTTGATGGAATCAACCGGAGTCACTGAAGGCTGTTTGAATTGTCCACTGATGGTGCTTCTTTTTCTTCCCCATCTCTTCTCCGTAGGCCAAGAGAACTTCTTAAAGGAGCTCCTGTTGCTTCCCGTGAGAGTCGATACCCTGAGTGTTCACACCCGGCGTGTTTCTTTAGAGAAGAAGCTGTCACAGATCGAAGAGGCCCTCAAAATCTTCTCCCGACCCAAAGTCTTCATCAAGTTGGACTCCTAAGCACAGAGGCCATCTTGCCTTTGGCCTCTCCAGGGTTATGCCCTCAGATCACAGGTGGCTTTGCTTCCTCACATGGTGGTCCCCGCAATGTAGGGTTGGTCTTGTTGCGTTGTCCATTGTTCTTGCTCTAAGGCCCGATTCTTCTCAGCATGGGGAAGCACATCCATGTGTCTAGGTCAGGCACGGGAAACGAGGGCAAGCAGTAAGGGTCAAGACCTGGGATGATGGAACCCAAGAGCTTCTGATGGGCCAAGAGAGCCGTTTCCAAAATAAATCTTCTCAAGAAGATCTCCTCCTTCAAGCAGAGGGAAAGTTGTATTGTTATTCTTTTTTAAAACTACATATTCTCAGCGAGTTTAGAGGAGTATGTGCATTTTTAACTGAAACGATTGGACTGTTTTAAACAAATAAAGCATGTTTTGCAAGCAAGCTTGTAAGTTGAAAGTTGTGAGGGCCTTCCTAAGCAATTCTGAACGATTCTTCAACGTTGGCCGTGTCAAGTCTTTTTATTTTCTTCAATACATCAAAAAGTTTGCCCTTAAATTACAAATTTCAGTTAAGATGATTTTCTCCTTTGAAATAACTTTCCAAAGTTTGTTTGTTTGTTTGTTTCTTTCTTTCTTTCTTTCTTTCTTTCTTTCTTTCTTTCTTTTCTTTTCTTTTCTTTTCTTTTCTTTTCTTTTCTTTTTCTCTCTCTTCTTTTCTTTTCTTTCTTTTCTTTCTCTCTCTCTCTCTCTCTCTCTCTTTCTTTCTTCAACTCCTTGGCCAACTCGCCGCCACCAACTTGCCACAGGACCAGAGTTACACTAATATTACAAATAATAATAATGGTGGAATCGAATCATGAAAGAAAGGATGCAAAAAGGAGAGGCAGAACGAAACGTGAATGACAAAACTATTAAATTTTTTTATTTTAAACCGTTAGATCGAATGGTTAAATTAAATTGTCCTGCTTGCAGGTTGTCCCATGGGAAGTTGACGACGGGGAGTTGGCTGCATCAAGTTGGCTGCAGGCCAGTTGTCTCATTCGGAACAAGAATGGTGGCTCTGGATTTCTTGGCCTCTGACAAATTTTAACATCTTTGTTGATCTGGTTTGCGCTGCCCTCTACCGAGGGATCCAAGAAATGCTTCACTGCCCAGGAAGGACTACAACAAGCCAAGGGTTTATTTTAGGGTTAGTGTGACCTTTGGCAACTATGGCATGACTTAAGCTGGTTGGGCAATTCTGGGAGTTGAAAGTCCCACAAGTCTTCAAGTGCCCATGGCTGGAGACCCCGGTCCAGATAATCCTGTATCAGTAAGTTATTTGGATGCACTGAAACATTCAGTGCTTTGAGAAGTTAGTAATCTGCTTTAACTATCTGCACTAAAGCACCTTTAATCTCTTACTGTAACGCAGTACAGGTAACCACCACAATCGGGACCAGAATTTTTGTGGCTAGGAAGGTCGTGGTCAAGTGAAAGGGGCCCAATTTTATGACCTTTTTTGCCAAAACCGTTAAACAAATCACTGCAGTCCTTAAATGAATCATAGGATGGTTAAGTGAAACCACCGTCCCCAGGCTGGGAAGGTCATAATTGGGGGGGTCACATTACCCCAGGGCACTGCCACTGTGTGCCCAGCCCCTGAATTTGGATCGTGTGATAATGGGGGATGCTGCCACCATTGTGTGAGGATCCATTGTGAGTTGCTTTTTTTTCCCCCAGTGCCGTCACTTCACTCGCTAAACCAAAGGTTGCCAGTTGAGAACTAGAGAGATAGAATTCTTTATTGGCCAAGTGTGATTGGACACATGAGGGATTTGTCTTGGTGCAAATGCTCTCAAGTCTGTCAGAGATGCTGTATGATTCCATCTGATCTCTTTGCCTTCCTTAGCAAAACGTAGGTGTAGCCCCTAGATCAGCAGTCAGCAACCTGGGGCTCTGGAGCCACATGTGGCTCTTTCGGCCCTCTGCTGCGGCTTCCTGTCGGCTGATCCCACCCCTGGCTGACCCCTCCTCTCCCCCCATCACTCCTCGCCTGGCCTGAGAAGTTAAGGGTGATGGCAGGGGATGGAGACTCGCTCCATACTCCAGAGCAGGAGGTGACTGGCTGGGAGTGAGTGACCTAGAGTTGGCCACGCCCACCCAGTCACAGCAGTTGTTAAACGATTGGCTCCCGGTGTTTTCTTTTTTGTGGGAAACGGGTCCAAAGGGCTCTTTGAGTATTTAAGGTGGAAGACCCCTGCCCTAGGTGTATAGTGCTAAGGCAGAAGAGCCCTCAAAACGTCACGGTCCCTGTTCCGACACATCAAAGAGGTGCAACTCTTTGCAGCCCCAAACAAAAGCCAGGGGCACAACTCCCACTTTCTTTGCAGACATTGCCACCGAGCTGTGGTGGACTCTGTCCCCTCAGCAGAACGAGAGAACTTCGATCTTCCAAGGGGGACGTCAAAACAGTCAAAGTTTCAGGCGATGGAATTTTTTTTTTCCTGGGTAGCTGAAGACCAGTGATCAGTAAGCTTGGTACCAAGTGAGACATGTATACAGAATGCTAATTTGTGAACATTTGAAATAACACTCATCGTCTTGTTACATCCTAGCTGCTTAATAGTTCTTTTCTGGAGCACTGCTAGGCAGCACGAACGATGAAAATGCTGGAGATGATTGATAGATTGGATGGATGGATGGATGTGGATGGACGGATAGAGGACGGATGTAGATGGATGGATGGATAGAGATGGATGTAGATAGATGATAAATGGATGTGGATGGATGGATGGAGATGTATATGGATGGATGGATAGAGATGTATAGAGATGGATGGATGGAGATGGATGGATAGATGGATGTAGATGATGGATGGGTGGATAGATAGAAGATAGATAGATAGATAGATAGATAGATAGATAGATAGATAGATAGATATGGATGTAGATGGATGGATGTAGATAGATGATGGATTGGATGGATGGATGGATAGAGATGGATGGATGGATGTAGATGATGGATGGATGGATAGATAGATAGATATGGATGTAGATAGATGATGGATGGATAGATGGATGCATGGATAGAGATGGATGTAGATGGATGGATGGATATAGATAGATGATAGATATGTAGATAGACACACAGAGAGAGGCAGACAGACAACAGACAGGTATAGATGCTTAGCCACATTTCGCTTAGGTCTGAATGTGTCAAAAGAGCAACTACCCAAAACCTGCAGGCCGTGTCTCTGCTGGTTGAGCTTTAAAGTGAACAAGAGGAATCTTGAGTGTCTGTAATTTAAAAAGTAAATGAAGTTTCTGCATGATCAGTCTTTCAAGTGCTGTTAGCCGACCGTAGGAGAAAAACAGCCCTGACTTGCTGCGATCAATACAGTAGGTTTCGCTTGAAAGCATCAGTACCTCTCGTTTGTTTGTTTGGCTGGAGAAGATTTAAGTAGACGGGTGGCCACCATTTCCTGATCATTCATGAAAAGACAGTAGGTTAGCACGATAGGGAGACTTCTCCCTCGCAAAGATCCATACATGCATCAAGAACGCAAACGTGTACATCAAAATCTGTCCCCTTAGTGAGAAGTAAGGTAGTTTTCCCAACCTGGTGCCCTCCAGACAGATGGAAGGACCGTAGTTGGGCGGAAGGCTGGCATACAAGATCAGCCTTTCAAGTGCTTAGAAGCTTCCCCGTTGTCCTTGGAGATCACTCTGGGTCCCCTTCTAAAAGATGAAAATAAAAGCCACCCTTTGGCCCAGCGTCTTTCAACCCCAGCCGTTTGAAGATGGGTGGCTAGGGAATTCTGGGAGTTGAAGTCCACCCATCTTCAAAAGGCCAAGGCTGAGAAACAACTGCTTTTAATTTATGGAAGACATTCCCCTTGTCTGCTGCCCCTTCCAACCTGTACCCCGTTCCTACCAGCAGGCGTTCAATAGCATCGTGGGAGAAAATTAAGACCGTTTTGGGATCTTCACCAATGTGGTCTTGGTAATAAACCATGGAAGTTGTGTTATCTTGGCACAGAGTTCTTTGCTCACTTGCTAAAAGGCCTGGGAGGGTTCTTGGCTAATGCGGGGGCGATCCTCCCCAATGAAGAATGGTTGCAGGAACTGGGCATGGCTGGTCTAGTGAAGAGAAGGACCAAATATTGGAAACATGATAGCATCTTCCAATATTTGAAAGGCTGCCGTAGAGAGGAAGGGATCAAGCTATTTTCTAAAGCACCCGAAGGCCAGACAAGCAATAATGGATGGAAACTGACCAAGGAGAGATTCAACCTGGAAATAAGGAGAA